GTATTTATGGCAAGAATAAAGATCATGTGATCTAGAAAGAAACAACAAGTATTGTTTAATTGGTAAAATATGCATAAATTACTTTTTATTTTGTATCTGAGAATACTCAGAAAAGGTATTTCATTTCATGATTTAGGTGTATCTTCAAGAGACACACTCAATGATGCCGAAGAAGAAGTTGATCAACCCGAATCAGTGAAACATGAGGAAGATAAAGATAACTATTATGAAAAGGATATAGATGAAAATTCAATCAAAATGAATGATCATGAAATCAATGACCTTCTTAGATTCATCACAAGATATACTTTTGGGTACTTGTCAAAGTGAAAAGTGGGTAGATATTAGTTTTGTAAAGTCTTTGTGGTATACTTTGCATTTGGTTCAACTTTCTTTCGAGAGTTCCTTGAGAAATGCAAGTGCATCCTCCATCATATTACAGTGAAGTAGTATCGACTCAATTTTCATTTTGTTAGTAAGTTCTCTCTGTTACCGCTTTATTTTTCTGAGTACATGACATACTTGGTGTATGATATATATATGTTTATTATGAGTATTCATTTGCAAAATAATTCTTAATTGATAATCATGGTGTGTTATCAATTTATATACTTATAATGATCTCATCATAATATATTTTCATGTATTCTATTTTATAAACACTTATATGTACATAAGCATGTTTAGCTTCATTAAAACATCAAGCATAACACAATTGACATTATATCATATTTGGTTCTACTAACATATAACTTGTCAAAGATTTCTATAAGATTATGAAGGGAGAGTTTGAAATGAGTCTTATGGGGAGTTGAATTACTTTCTCGGACTCCAAATAAAATAACTCAAGGAAGGAACACGAAATTACCCCCGCGGTCATGTTGAAAAAGGGAATATTGTGTTCGAGCATTTTGATAGTGAAAATCAACTTGCCGAAATTTTCATAAAACATTTGCAACCAAACCATTTTTCAACAAACATGATGAATTGTGGATTATTGATATCTCCAATGTTACTTAAT